AAGTCTCCCGTTTTTGCAAAGTGGAGAAATCTGCCATTCTTCCAAAAGAGCTTTAACTGATGCTGGCATGCACCAGTTCAGATTCAGGGATTTCAAAAAGTGGCTCCATACTGTAGTACTAAACTTACAATATAGGAAGAGATGTCCAACTGACTCCACCTCCTCATTACATAGACAGCACCTTATATCTGGAATGCTCATTCCTTTTTTTTTTTTATCAACATTTCCTAAGACAAACATCTCTACAAAGCTGCAACCCAAACAAAGAACTTAATTTTTGTAGGAGCTAGATTCCCCCAAATGGCCCAACTAGGAAAAGGAGATTCAGTCCTCCTCACTAGCTTATAATAGAAGGATTTAACTGTGAAAACTCCAATTTTGGTTCCTTTCCAGATTCGTGTGTCTTGGGGATGGAGATTTAGTTGCTGGTTTTGTAACAGAGAGAGAAGGTCAGCAACCTGCTGAATTTCCCAGTCATTGAAACTCCTCCTAAATGAGGGAGTCCAACACATGCTATTCTCCTTAAGTCTGAATGAGTCTGCCACTAAGGCTTCTTCGTCTAAGGCTATAAGTCAGGAAATATCTCCTTTAGGGGCCTCTGTCACCAATCCAGTGGTCTGACCAGAATTTCACTTTTCTTCCATCTCCCACTTTAAAACTGATGCAGTCGGAGAACTTTCTAGCTGCCTTACAAATTCCTTTCCATACTCCACAACCATAGGTTTGAGGGGGTGGTCCAGCATCCCACCCATTGTTCCTTAGGCCATACTTCTCCTCTATCACTTTTCTCCACAGAATATTTGGTTCAGTTGAGAATCTCCACAGACAACTTCCCAATAAAGCTATGTTGAACAACTTCAAATGTCTTAAGTGTTAACCCTAAACCACCTTGTGATTGAGGTTTGCAGATTTGATCCCAGCTCACTAAATGATACTTGTGAGTCTCTTTCCAGCCTTTCCAAAGAAAGTTTCTCATCTTTTTCTCCATTTCCTTTGCCACCTTCGATGGGATAGGAAAAAGGGTCATAAGGTAAGTTGGAAAACTAGCTAACATACTTTTGATTAGTGTGACCTTTCCACCTTTAGAGAGGTACCTTGACTTCCAAGTTGACAATTTTTTATCCATCCTTTTTAGAACTGTTCCCCAAATAGCTTTGGAAGTACATATAGTTCCAAGGGGCAGACCCAAGTAACTTGAGGGCAGACTTTCCACTTTGCATCCCAATAGATCAGCCAAATCATGAATATTAGGGACTTCCCCCACAGCTATTATTTCACTTTTTGTCAAATTCACCTTCAGGCCTGAAATAATCTCAAACCACAACAGTAGATATTTCAGGTTTATAATTTGATCCTCTGAAGCATTGCAGAAAAGGTGTGTATCATCTGCGTATTGTAACATGGGGATTTTGGTCCCATTGGGCCTTCAAAACCGTCTAGAAACTCCAAATCTGAAGCCCTTCCCACCAGTTTACTTAGGCCTTCCATCACAATTAGAAAAAGCAGGGGTGATAACAGGTCACCCTGTCTCAGCCCTCTTGGGCTTGTAAGTTTCCTTTTACTGACCCATTTATTATAAATGAAAACCTTGAGGTTGAGATACAGACTTTAATCCAGCTCCTCCATTTTGAACCAAAATGCATCCTATCCAGCATATAGTCTAAGAATGCCCAATTAACATGATCATAGGCTCTAAGTCAATTTTGCAAATCATCCCTTTCCTCCCACTTCTTAACCTGGAGTCAATTAATCCATTTGCAATAAGAACTCCATCATGAATTTGATTATTATGAACAAAGGCACCTTGGTGAGGTGAAATCGGAGATTCCATCACAGCTCTTAGCCTTGTTGCCAGTACTTTGGCTAGGATTTTGTATACACTATGGCCTGAAATCCTTCATCTCTTTAGCTCCGCTTTTCTTAGGGATCAGAGATAGGAAAGTGGCACTCAGACTTCTCTCTAAAGCAGTGGATTTATAAAACTCCTCCAAAACTTTCAACAGTTCTGTTTTAATTAGTTCTCAGAATTTCTTGTAGAAAAGGACAGTAAATCCATCTGGTCCAGGGGCCTTTTCCCCTTCCAAACTGTCAATAGCCTCCTTAACTTCTCTTTCCGAGAAAGGTTTTTCTAGATCCTTTGCCTGCTGATCCGTGAGGGTGTCAAACCGAATACCATTCAGCTTTGGTATTGACCTTTCTCGGAAGAATTCACATGCTTCAGCAATTTCTTGGCTTACCAAGAAGAATTCACATGCTTCAGCAATTTCTTTTTCTTGAGATAGTCTTATCTCCCACCTCTAGCTGGTTTATGGAATTTAGCCTTCTTCTAGCATTAGCTAACTTGTGAAAGAAAGCTGAATTGCTATCTCCTGCTTTTAGCCACATAGCCCTTGACCTTTGTCTCCATTTAATTTCATTTTGGTAAGCCAAGGATTGATAATCCTTCTTTGCCCCTGCCCTTCTCCTTCTCTTCTCCTCATCCAAAGGTCCAGTTTTCCCCCTTTGCATCCAAATCAGCAATTAATTTCAAGAAAAAGTCCTTTTTCTCCTCATCTTTCCTTGATCTTTCTTTCTGCCACTCTTTTAGTTTAGCTTTCAGCCACTGGAGTTTTTTAAAAAACACATGGTTGGCTGTGCCTTCGAAGGAACTTTCAGCCCACCATTGCTGGATATTGGAAACCAGCTCCTCTGATTCCAGCCAACAGTGTTCAAGTCTAAAGGGGGGTGAAAATTTTCTCAAACCACCTGTGTCTAATAGAAGTGGAATGTGGTCAGAAACAAATCTTGGAAGGGCTTCCAGCTTTGAGTTGGGGAAGGCATCTCCCCAATCAGTAGAGATCAAGAATCTGTCTAGTCTTACCAATGAAGGCCTATCTTGATTATTGGTCCAGGTATACCTAACTCCAGAGAGGGGCAAATTGATTAGCTCCCAATTTTGAATAAAATCCTTGAATAGACTCATGCCTTTGTTTCTCCTTTTACAGCCTTTCTTGCTTCTGGGTCTACTATGGCATTGAAATCCCCCCCTATCACCCAACTTCTGAATGAAACTGGAACGAACCTGGAAATATCATCATCATCATCCATGCCTTATCCCAACTATATGGGGTCAGCCACATGAATCCTGTTTCGCCAATCCATTCTATTTAAAGCCATATACATAGTACACTGTTAAATTATTATTGCTTAAATCATTTCTTACTACTTTCCATGTCCCTTTTGGTTTACACCGAGCTCTTCTAGCCTTTTCAATGTGTAACAAATCATCTCTCTCTCTCTCTCTCTCTCTCTCTCTCCCCCTATACCTTTCCTCCTTTAGATGATAACTTCTTGCATTTTTTGGAAAAGTTTAAAGAAAGGAGCCTAGTTTCTAAGGTCTTTTACACCAAATAGGCAATTATAATTAGGTGTCCTTTTTTACTTAGATTATAAGCCTTCTTGAAATTTCCAAATTTCAGTCTTCTTTCTCTAATACAATTTGACTTTCTCTTTTCTTGGTAACTTCTAACTTGGTCCACCCTTAGCCCCTCAACTCAAGCACAATCTCTAAT